GAATTGGCTTTTGGCTAACTTTTTAGAGTTCCAGTCTTATAATTTCATAGTGACAAGGCTCGTTCAAACTGGAACTAAACATCCCTTACATTACTTTCTTGTATTACATGATGCAAGATGCTTGTGACACTAGATGAATTTGGAATGCCTCCTTCTAAATCTCTAGGAGTCAAATCAAAGTTAACTATCAGGTAGAGAAAAGTCATGAAGTTAAAACTGATATACAGTATCCTCCGGCGGAAAATTCTAAAATAAGCTTTTGTAAATGATAAGGTACCCTGTGTACTGTTTTACTACGTATATCTAGTCCCAGGTTCCATGTTCGAAACATTGTAAATTTACAGCCTGACTACATTGTGCCCCTAAACACTGAAAGCAATTCGTATTGTGGGGATTTCATTTTAACCGCTAAGAAACTGTAACAAGCCTCAAACCACCAAACCAAGTAAGTAGTAGATCCGAGAATAGAATTGAGAAGACTGATTCTTCCTCACATACTGAGACCACAAGATTCAGCCCCTTCTGAACATAATAACAGGTCATCTAATCCTGCTAGGCTGCCAAAGTATGACACGTCAGGAGCAAACCCTATGAGGGTACTACTCACTGACATAATAGTATTCGGTTTCTAAAGGCCTGCTTAGAAAACAGGGAAGTGGAAGGAGTCAGTAGGGGATCCAGGAGTCAGATGATTATTGACTGAGGTGTGTCTGGGGTACTTAGTTGTTGCTACAAAGTTTACTTCTCTGATTATGTTATTTTCTAAAGTGATAACTGTAGAAATGCTTTTAGCAGTTCTTAATAACATTTTTAGAACTCAATGAAAGTAAAGAGTTTTGTGGAAGATATAGTGTTTTATATATATATATGAAAAAATATATATATATGAAAATATATTAATATGATTATATATATAGATATATATATGAATAAGAAATTATTTTAGCCTGGCATGCTGGCGCATGCCTGTAATCCCAGCACTCGGGAAGCTGAGGCAGGAGAATCGCTGTGAGTTTGAGACCAGTCTGGGCTACATAGTGAGTTCCAGGTCAGTCTCAACTACATAGTGAGACCCTGTCACAAAACCAAAAAAAAAAAAATTATTTTATTCCTTTCAAGAATTGGCTCAAATCCTCCATTTATTTTAGTTTTAAACTTTCCCTTCTTTTTGCCTTTAGTTGACTTCAAGAACACTGAAATGGTTTTTTAAAAGGTTTTGTCCTGCAATACCATTGCTGTTTGAAGTGCAAATTTGCAAACCTCGTTCTGTAGTACTAAAAGGAGCTTTATCTACCATTTACTATTTCATGTGAATAAAAATTGTTTATATTTATATTTTACAGTTTAATTATATCACAGACCTTTTTGTTGGGATTATTTTCTTGTATAAAATATACCTTTTGAAGTTCTGTTGGTAAAAGTCTTTTGGTTTTTTTATTTGGTACCAGGGATCAAACTCGGGCCCTTGCGCTTGTGAGGCAGATGGTGGAACCACTGAGCCAAATCCCTGGCCTGTCTTTTGGTTTATATTTATTTAAACTTATCTTAGTTTTAACCTTAGCTTCATTTGATGTACTGTGTAAGATGTTATTTTCTTTTAGGCCTTTTGAAGATATTATTTCACTATGCTTATTTTGATAGCATTAAATAATTTTAAAAATGTAGTATTAGTCATTGCATTGAACATCTACATTTATCACCTAAATTAATCCTTGTAACAATTTTATTATGGTAAGATGCCATTTTTCTTATTTTCATGATGGAAAACACAGGTGCAGAAAAGTTAAAGATACACATATAGCATGTGAGGAGGCCAGGATTTCAACCCAAGAGCTCTGAGTCCTGAGCCTATCTCTTAAACCACTATCACAGCTAAATGAATAGTTATAGAAGAAGAATATAGGAAGAATAACAGTGCTAATCATTAAAGTTATTAGAAAACTATAGTAATTAAGACAGAGGATTTCCTTCCAGATAGACAGATTAATAGACTAATCATTACTACGAGACTACCATTAGTAATGCAGCATACCTGTAGTTCCTTTTCCTAGTTTCTGAGATGAGGATAGTAGCAGTACCTCAAAGAGTGATGGTGAAAGGTAAGTGCATGTGTCATATCTTTTGTTGTCATTAGCAGTAGTATAATAAAACAAAAATATAGAAACAGACTCTACTGTATGATAGAATATAATGTTGCAGGTGATGGAGGAAAAGGATGGTCTGTTAAATGGTGCTGGTATAGCTCATTGAATTACATAGCAAACATGTTAATTTATCTTTTTCTTTTTTAATCTATGACCTAGTGTAAGAGTAATACCAGATTTTGAGGGTTACTGTTTTCTAAATCCATGGTACTATTAGAAGAAGGTTCTGGTTAATAGTTATGTATGTCGACATGGCTGCTGTAAACATGCTACCAAAGGCAGAAACTATAAGTAAAATGAGTGATTTGACACATAAAAATCAAAACTTTGTTAAAAGAAATAAGAATGCTGTCTAAATGATTAATGGCACAGTATACTAGATTAGGAAGACCATTTGCAGCATATGTAATACAAAGCAGCATTCTGATTTATAAAAAGCTCTTATTGAAATAATAAAGGACTATAACAATAGAAATTAACCAACAAACATAGTCATTGAGACATACAACTGACCAGTACATGTAGAAAAAAGGCTTACTTTCACTTGTAATTAAAAGCAGAACTGGCCCTGGGTCTCAGTAAGAACCATTGACAGAGAACCTGAACACTGTGGTCTGAGTAAGAACCAGTGACAGAGAACCTGAACACTGTGTCACAGCTGCTGCTGTGAGTGCCTCACTGAACACACCAAGTTTGAGAGATCTGAGAGATGTGTAGCGTATCATGGAGCTGCTCAAGATTTCCAAGGACAAATAGGCCTTCAATTCATTAAGAAAGGTTGAGGCTGGGTATGGTGGTGCCATCCTGTAATCCCAGTTACTCTGGGAGGCAGAGGCAGGAGGATCATAAGTTTGAGCCTAGCCTGGGCAATTTAATGAGTCCCTGTCTCAAAATAAAAATTAAAAAGGCATGAAGATATGGTTTCATGGTAGAGTGCTTACCTAGATTGTGTGAGTTCCAAGGCTTAACCCCCAGTTTAAGAGAGAGGGAGGGAGAGAGGGAGAAGAGAGAGAGCATGGGTGAGAGAGTGCAAAGGATGGAGGTCTGCATCTGTGCCAAGAAGAACTGAGAGTAACCTAACAACCTGTGGCTGGCAAGGAAGGCTGAATCCCTTCTCTCTTGTATAATGAAACCTTTAAGGAAAAAAGAAAAAAGAATGAGAAAAGGGAGAGGAGAGGAAGGAGAAAGAAAAGAATGAAAGAAGAAAGAAACCATACAAATTCAATACTTCTTTCATCTGTATTTTTGGATTATTTAAAAAGATAGTCCATCACAGACAAATACATAATGGTACATAAATAAACAAAATGGAAGAAAAATAACAGACCTACAAAGATTTTTGTAGGATCAGAAGAAATAATATTTTGCATTGTGATACAGGAAGTGTTAATTGAAGACTCCTTAAATTATAAGCATAATGTTAGTAAGAACTGAGAAATGAGAATAGGGTTTAGGACCCTATCTTCTAAGAGGCGCTGCACTGTTGAAGAAATAGAAGTAACCATAGCTTCGGTATTGTTGTAGTTGAAGGATGTGGTTTTACAATTGGAGCTCAGAGAATCCTTGGATACAGGAAAAAACCAGCAAAGAAAGAGAACTTGACCTAACATGCCTAGAGGGATTAGAAACAAGGAAGTGAGAATACTTCTCTCTAGCTTTGATCTCAGGTAGTAACTCTAAGACAAGGAAAGTAAAAGTAGGTTTGTAAAAGCTCATTATGTTTTAGTCTGAATTTATGTCTTACCAAAATCCAAATGTTGAAATTTAGTCCCTAATGTGATAGTATGAACAAATGGGACCTTTTCAGAAGTGATTGAATCATGAGAGCCATTATGAATAAGACTCGTTCCCTGACAAGAGACGGAAAGGAGGAACATGCAAGGACACAGCAAAATAGTACTAAACAGACTTAAAGACTTTCCCTAGACATAGAATCTCCTGGTACCTTGGTCTTAGACTTCCAGCTTCTAGCACTCTGAGCAATAAGTTCCTGCTGTTTATAAGAACTAGTCAGTCTAAGGTATTTTGTTGTAGCAGCCCAAATGGACTAAGGCTGAGACTGTGGAATAGTCAGAGATGAAAATAAATATTACAGGACTTTATTTGACCCTGGCTAAGACTCTGTAGCATGGATTTTTGTGCTCTCTTGGTAGAGTGAGGTGGATATTCAGAGTAAGAGAGAACAAAGGACAAAGTAGTCCAGGGAGATAACCAGGACACTGTTGAAATAACTGCGTTTGGAGTAAACAGGAGAAGATAGAACTGAATTAGGGAGGATGAAAGGATGGGAATAAAGATCTGACATTATCTATCATTGCATCCTTATGTGTGCACCTTAACCATTTACTCATCAGTTTTTTTTGACATTTATTAATTTTTTTCTTTCCCACCTTTCACTTGTTATTTTGCTTTAACTTTCGCTTACCTCGTAAAATCCTACATCTCTACTTCTGAAATCATAAGTATAATTTAATGTTAGTTCATTCATTACTTGGTTTGTGATCCCAGCTAGAAGGGCAGCTGTCTGCCTTTTGAACATGTATAATTCCTTGTTTATACCTTTTATGTAAGTTTTCATGACTTTTGTTTCTACTAAATATTAAATTCCTTGAGCGTAGACATCATCTTTTGGGTCAAATTTGGTTCTTTTTATATTCACAGTGCCAATGCAATGACATTTCAGTAGTATACATGCAGTAAATATTTGCTAAACAGATACCACATTTTCTGTTTATACTAAGCAAATAGATAGGTGTTTTAAAAGAAAATGATGTTTTGCCTTTTCTTTGGGCCAATTTTAAAGACGTATTTTTAAATGTTATTTCAGTAACCTAAATGAATATTTTTGTCCTGTAGATATGGCATGAATTGCCTTGTTCAGTTTGAAGATTTTGCCAATGTGAATGCATTTCGTCTTCTCAACAAGTATCGAAACCACTATTGCACATTTAATGACGATATTCAAGGTAATAAAACTTTCACTGTATATGGGTCATCAAGAATAGACTCAATTTAGTTCAGAATTTTTAAATAAATATATAACAAGCACCCTGAATTCAGGAATTATGTCCTTGATTTCACACATAATCTCTCATTTAATTTTGTATACTCATGACTGTAGAATGTATCATATTATGCATCAGGTAAAGAATGAGCCCCTAGAAATCTGATCAAATGTCTAGTGATTATGGCTAAATAAAGGAAGAGTGTGAAAATGTTATTCATTACTTAAGACTAGAAAGTATATATACTTCTCTTTTTAGCTTTCATCTAGGTCAACCACAGTTTCTAAGCTTTACCCGAGTAAGTGCTGTTTTTACATAACAGTGTGCCTTGTTTTACTGTTTGGTTTCAGATGCTTGACTGCCTGTCCTTATCCAAGCTACCTGTGTCTTCCTGTTTATCATTTTTTAACCCCTTCTAGATACTCTACCTTCCTAATCACACACATGCAGTGCCTTATCATGACCGTCTGGATCCTATTTCATCATGGGCAAGTAGAGAAAAAAACAGTCAAAGGTCATAAGCAAGAAGATCTTAATTAGTTCTACTAACTTGAATAAGATCACAAGGGGCTGGGGATTTAGCTCATTGGTGCCATGCCTGCCTGGCAAGAGCAAGGTCCTGAGTTTGATCCATAGTACCCCCCCAAAAAAGATCACAAATGGCTTCCATTTGACTAAGTCTTGTGATTATTTTTCAGTGTCTATCTTACATGAATTCTCATCAACATCAATACTCATTGTCAATTCATCTTTCTCAAAATACTGTCTTCTGGTAGCTTCTGTGTTACAGCATTCTGCTGATTTCTTTTCCTACCTCTTTGACTATTTGACTTCTTCTTTAGTTTCATCCTTTTTTGTGTGCATATTAAATGACACTGTTGCTCCGTCCAAGGCCCTTTTTGTTCTGTATCTTCTTAAGTATATCCTCCAAGTTCACACATTCAATTAGCAGATTTATATCTCCAGCTGAGACTTCTTTGAGTTTTAGAGCTATGTTTACTTAACATTTCTTTTTTGATATGTCAAAGTTACCTCATACTCAGCCTATCCCAAATCAAACTCCTATTTCTGTACCAAACGTGACCTGCATAGTACTTAGCATAAAGATAGGAGCCCTGAATGTGGCTCAGAACTCATTGTGTAATCCCACCGTTCTCGATTCTCATTACTTTGTCATTCTATCCATAACTTCCTTTCTTAATCTTGCAGTGAACTGACTTTTTCCTATTATAGTCTATCCATATGTCGATCTTTCTTCTTAGATACTCCTTCCTCTTCTCTTTGTATCTCAGCTTAACCACAGTGTTCTTCAGGAAGACCTTCTAAATCCCTGTGTCTAGGCCAAACCCATCTCATGTGTCATATTTTTTTGTGGTGCATTTGTATGTCTGTGTAAGTTTTGTTAAAAATTACTCTTCCTCCATTAAAAAAATTAGTCTTTACTTACTAAGTTTAAGCTCTGTAAGGCAAAGAACATTACAGGTTTGGTAATCAGTGTATTCTTTCTCATTACCACGGTGCCTAGCCCAGAATGAATGAATGTAGTATCTTGAGCAGAGTTTGTCCATGGTCCACTAACTGTTTTTGTGTTTCTTGTAGCACATCCGTACCCATGTTTAAGGTATTGGGTGTCGCTGTTTTCTTGCTTAAACAATAGAATTAAATTCAGAATAGATATTATATTGTGCATAAGCCCTAAATAGTTACTATCTAGCCCTTCACAAGAAGAGCTTTTCAGCCTTTGCTCTAAAGGATTGAATTTGAAGGAGCTAGGAAGAGTGTAACCAAGTAGTTTACATTTTGGAAAGATCACTTGCATCATTTTTAGCATAGAAAACAAGACTGGGTGGAAGCAAATGGGAGGAGTGCTGCTATAATCCAGTTCCATGATGGTGGTGCTGTGTCTCACGGAAGTACCAGTAGAGATAGAGGAGAGGCAGTTGGCTGATGTTGAGAACCGAAGTTGGAGCATTTTTTTTCCTGAAAAACTGGAAGAGTAGAATGAGAGAAACTAAGCAGAAGAAACTAGAGACATTACCTGTAGGGGTAAAGAGTGTGGATTCAAGAGTCAGACTGATTTGCCTTGTCTCCCTTACTAACCGTGGACTGTGATCAGTTTATTTATCCTCTGTATAGTAATTTTCTTATTCGTGACAAGAAATTACACAACAGCCCCCCCCCCAAACAGTATGTTTGGAAGTTTGAGAATAAAAAAAAAAAATGATCTGGAAGAACTGCTGTAGAACTAGAAAGCTAACTGACTCTGAAATACAAAAGAATTCAGTTGATAAATATTCATCATCTATTTGAATTTAAATATCATCAATATCATGCCAATGGGCTGAACTGCTTGAGTATAACAGTTTGGGATCAGACAAAGCTGAAAATTACACAGAAGTGAAATTTACACAGATGTAGAATGTGTAAAGGGTTAAGGGCTGACAGTGGAGTGATGACCATGACACTAAGCCGGAAATGGTAGAAGGGGAGATACAAGGACTTTTTTTTTTATAGGGGAAAATAGGCGTAGACCTCGTGAAGGTGAGAGAAATTGAATAAAAGAAAAAAGAAAGATTGCAGATTACAGACTATCACAAATGAGGTATTCTAATGCAGTACTTTGAAGAAGAATTTGTTCTGAGTGATGGAAAGTGCCAAGATGAAATTTAGGAGGAGACAGACAAAGTGAAATATAGGTTAGTGTTGAAATGAGGTGGTTAAAGAAATTTTAATGTGAAATGGGAATGCTAATGTTTTTTCTCATGGAGTTTACCAAGGACAAAACTTACTTATGAAAAGAGCCTATCAACTGAAATATGCTTTATAAATACAATTTCACTATGCTTAACAGTTCTTTAGTATGACATAGCTGTTTAAATATAAGATTTTAAAAAATTACGAATCTATACATTTTGAAAGAGTAACATTATTGAACAGCTCTTTTCCCCAATTTTTTTGTATTAGTGATTACATTGTGCACATTAATGCCTGGTTTCGTGATAAAGATATGTGCTGTTTGAACTTCGCTTTATTCATGTTTTATTAAATTTGTTTTAGTATTTATTCATGAAATGGAGTATTTGAAAGATTTTAGAGATTAAGCTGGAAAATTCCAGATGTTAAGAATTGTAAATGTGAACTGTAGAAAGCCAGCCTAATCTTTATGTGTTATAGCTTTGACTTGAGGATACTCATTTTAATAGAGGGCCTTTCGTGCTATGTATACAATTTGCAGAATGGCCTTTTAAGGTCACTTTTATTTTTTGAGACAGGGTCTTGCTATTTAGTTCAAACTGGCCTTGAACACTTGGCGATCATCTTGCCTTGGCCTCCTGAGTGCTGGAATTATAGGTGTGAGTTATCATGCTCAGTTTAAATCAGTTACTATTATTATTATTTTTTTTTTTTTTGAGATAGGGTCTCACTATGTAGTTGAGACTGACCTGGAACTCACTATGTAGTCCAGGCTGGTCTCGAATGTGCAGCGATCCTCCTGCCTCAGCCTCCCCGGTGCTGGGATTACAGGCATGTGCCACCACGCCCGGCTATATCACTTATTTGATTTTGATGAGGTTTCTAATATACTACCTACCAGTAACTATTGAACAAATCTGTTTTCTTTAATATTTTTTTCATTTTGTGATTCTCAGAGATGTCCTTCTTGAACTGAAAGATCAGTGTTACATGATTTTGAACCATTATACAGAATTTATAAAAATCAGAATTCAGTTGAAGAAAAAGAATGAAAATTCAAATCATCAAACAAAATAGGCAAGTAGGAATTAAGGTGAGACTTTCTATCAACCAAGGCAAGGAATCTAGAGATCAAGGCGTGGGGTACATCAGAATTCATATCTGTAGCACAGAAACTCTATGACAGAGCCAGGGGCAGTGCATTGAGGAACCCTGAAGATCTGGCAGAATATTCCCCCACTCCTACAACTCAGGGCTACAGAGGCATTTTGTACACATATCGGTGCTTATTTCCTTATTGGAATTTCATAGTATCACTGTCTTGGAAACATAAAGATAGGTTTGGAAAAAATGTGTCTCATCTCATTTCTTGTCTAGAGAAAACCTTTGGTAAGTTGTTGAGATTCTGACTAGAAATGACCAAATGATTTTGTGAATTTCTCCATACCAAAGTTATGTCCTTATGACACATTTTTTCCATATGTTTCTTTTTTACCTTTTAAACTATATGCTTTTACCATTATGTCTGCAGATGTGGCACAGAAATTATATTTTACTGCCAATAAAAATAATTATGTAACCATCATGGCATTACCATGTAAATAAATATTTTTATGCTGGATCTTTGGAGAGTCTTTTTCTTATTTTTTAAACACATGTTGTAAGATACTATTTTATGAAAAATACTTGGTTAAAGAAAAATGTACTTAAAATGTACTATGTATTCATGATCTAAAATAATCTTACTCAGGTTTTGGTTTAAAATGCATGGTAACTCCTTTGGCCATTTCCTTAGGGAATCTCCCTTGTCACTCTCTTTATATCATTTGCCTTCCATTGTTCAGATTCCATGGAAAGGATTTTTCCACCCTCTGTCCTATTGTTAACGTTGTGCCATATTAGCTTTCTATGAGTATTCTTTGAACTATAAAGCAGAAGACGGGAAGGAAGGTCTCCATGTTGAGTATATAAATTTCACTGAATCTTGTTTTCATCATAGCACTCTTGCCCCTATTTATGCCAGGTGTTCTACCGTCCAGAGGCTTTCTTTGGAAAACAAGCCTTTAGTGTGTTTCCAAACTATCTGCCAGCAGGAGAGGGAAACAAATCTGGATTCCAGCTGCTTCTCAGTAGATTTTTGACCAGCTTCCTAGTGTCTTCTGTAGCTGAGGCTCTGAGGAGTTTTGCTCCATCACTTCTAAACCATTTCCCTCTGAATATCTTTCTCAAGTTGGCTAAGTCAGTTGCCATTTGCCATCTAGAAGCCTTGCAGCTTCTCAGATTTTGTTGCTACCCTCTTCTGGGGGTCATTTCTCATTTCTTATTGTTTTAGCACTGTGTGTTGATTGTCAGGGAGAAGGAATACTAATTGTGTGTTCATTCCTCATTTGAACTAGGGAGTCAGCCCTGCCTTCATGTCTTGCACGTGCTTTTTTTTTCGCAGTTGCCCTCCCATCTGAGGTCCAGGACTCCTCAGCTCAGTCCCTCAGTGCTGTGCTCAGGTGCTGCATGCTCTAAAGGCCTTGAGCACTGCCTTGGTAAAGTTACCCTTCCTCCTACTATTTTTCATTCTTGTACATCATCTGATCTTTTTATTTAATAGCATACAAGGATTATAATTATTTCATTATATTGTTCTTGTTTATTATATGTGGTGATTTTAATTAAATTTAAGAAATTATTGGATTAGTAGGGGTCAATCTTTGATAAATGATAAAACTGATATTTGTAACCATAGCAAAAGCATAGCACAACTAGTAACTTCTGTTTAGGTTAAAACATACTACACACAAATATGAGTTGAGTATCTCTTATTCAAAATGTCTGAGAACAGAAGCATTTGGATTTTAGAGTTTTCTGGATTTGGGAATATGTATTTACATTTATATACATTACATATATAGTGGGTTATTCATTTATGTTTCATAGAATCTTATATACATGGCTTGCAAGTGATTTCATACAGTATTTTTAGTGCACCTGTATTTGGCTGCAACTTGTCACATAAGTAAAAGTATGGAATTATTCACTGACAGTGTTGTATCAGAGCTAAATATTTTTCAAATTTTGGAGCATTTTGGATCATGGATTTTTTATTAGAAATGATTAACCTCTCTATGTTTCTAAAATTTTAAGAAATATTTGGTGTCTTTAATATCCTATTAACAGTGCTAAATATTCAGCCCTTTTAAAAACCACTAGTCCAAAGATAAGCCCTCTGTGTGATTTACTAAAATTTTAGTTTTTAACCTCAAAACAAAAGCTATTAAGAAATAATTTATTTTAAACTCACATATTAGTGAAATTTCAATTTTCCACATTTACTCCCTTCTTTACAATTAAATTTAAATCAGGGTAGTGCCATGCCACCTACAAGGAGCATATTCAAGTTAAATTTTGGTAGTGCTGAAAATATCTTTCTAATTTTATTAATTAATTTTATGGAGACATTAGCAGTTTCCTTATATCTTCAAGAAATGTGGGATATACATTTAAACGTAAGGCTCTGATATCCAATTTGATAAAGTAGACTTACTTTACTTTATTTGAGGTAATATGTCTGAATTTATGGCATTTTGAGTTTTAATACAGAGTAATCTATCATACTATATGAAAATAAATCAGCACATTATAGTTAATAATTTTTTTCAGCTTTAATTGAGTTTATTGGTACATTTTAGGGATACAGTACAGTTACATTCATTGTTGGGATCTTGTACCTCTACATGACAAGTCTTGATTCTCATTTTTTTCCCCTTACCCCTGTCCTCCCTTCACCCCCTCCTCACCTCCCTATCTACAAACACTTTATTTTCATCTTTTCATTCTCTCACATTTTTTTCTTTTCCCTTATTACCCTTCCCCCTACCCACCCCACCTTCCCTACACCTTTAGCTCCTTTCTTCCCATTTCTAAATGTCAGTAATTTTATTAGGATCTTATGTATAATTGCAGATTATTCACACCAGGGAAACTCTTCAGTATTATAGTTAATAATTTAAATATTTAAGTATTTAAACTGTTTCGGAATATTTTCTGTCTGCTTAATTAGAAATGTCAGTTTTCCTTACAGTCAGAGTAATCACACAATACAGTAATTCTTGATAATACTTCAACTTTTACTCTTCAACTCCTTAAATCTGGTGGTGTTCATAGAATTTATAGAAACTCTTGAAATCATATAATATCAGAGCTAGAAGGAAGCAGAGTTCCTTACATCTAAACTGTTGAATTTACCTTGAAAGAAATAAAGATAGAGATAGCTAAAGATACTCTGAATAATGACTTATTTAGCAGCTGAATATCTGTAACTCTCCAATTTGAATTCTCTTTTATCTGTTTTATAATTGTAGTGTATCTATCTTGATGTATTGAGTAATCCTGTCATGCAGGTATATTTTGCAGCTATATTTTTGTACAGACTTTCATTTTAAATTATGGATAGAGGAGTGGCATTTGCATAATATATGACTTGCCACAGTTTCAATTATTTGCACTGATGACTCAACATTGCAAGAGTTTTATTTTTACAATAAGTATTATGTTCTAAATAAAAAACAAGAAGCATATAGGCCTTCGACAATTATTATTTATTGTGGTCTTATTTATGACTATTAATAAAGGAAACAAACCAAAAAATTGAAATGAACAAATATGGTGTAAGTGAAATTTTGAATATATTTGGTTCTTGGAATCTATAATTCTGTATCATTGTGTCATTCACCAAATCCATTCTGATCTAGGTTTTTGCCAAATGAGGATATTTAAAGTTTCAAAAACTACTACTCAACTGGGTGATCTAGGAAACATTATAGGGAGAATGTTCCTTTAGAGGGATAAAATATAGATACAGCTGGAAGCACTGAAAGAAGTTGTAAGGTTTAATTTCAGAAGCAAGCCGTAAGGGAGTTGAGCTGTGTAATTATGTTCAAAGCAAGAGGACTTCTCTGTAATCTGTGAAAGTTTATATGGGGAAGTAATATAATTAGAACTGGTGCTATTTCTATGCCTGTGAGGTGTGATGAGGGAAACACCATTTTTGTCTTAAGTAAATCTTATCCAGCACCTGTGGGATTTACCATGATTATCATATCTAGAAAGTCTACTGAATAATGCAATAAAATCAGAGTTTAATTGATATTAACTCTTACCTTTTTAAATTGAGAAATTAAGTCACCATGTTCTACTTATATCAAAAACATCACTACCACCAACATTATAAGAATGCATTTACCTCCTCTGTGTAAAGGAGATCTGTAAAAGATTTCAAAGCCTCAAGAGTAAATAGGTGGAACGATTTAATAACACTTATTCTGTTTTTTTTGTTTTCTTTTTTTAACTGAGGATCAAACTCGGAACCTTGCACTTGTGAGGCAGGCAGTGGAAGCACTGAACTAAATCCCTGACTAGGACTTATTCTTATTTTATCTCATGTAATATTATTATTTCACAAATGAGGAAACTGACATACAAATTATTTCTCTGAATTCTTTCACCTAGTACATAGATTGAGCTGCAGTCCTTATAAGAATCCATAACCATCCTGTGTTCTTACTCATTGCATCATCAAAATAAGTTAGAATTCTCTTTTTGGAAAAATTTCAAGGACAGTAGTAAGCTGCTATCTTAAAATTGATGTCAGTAACCTGAGAATTTCACCTCACATGCAACCACAGGGTCAGACAACCACAAATTCTCTTGCTGTACCAGGTAACCTGTTGTGTGATGATTTCAAGATGTGGATAAAAGCTTAGAACTTGACAGGATCTATCTGAGAATTACTCAAGGAAATTTATTACTTGTTTCAGGAACAGCATCTGTTGCAGTTGCAGGTCTCCTTGCAGCTCTTCGAATAACCAAGAACAAACTATCTGATCAAACAATATTATTCCAAGGAGCTGGAGAGGTACCTGCCTTGTAAAATACAGTACTCATGTTCTCCTAAACTAATGAACATATAATTAATTTTAACTGCTTTTTAATTCAAGATTTGAAGCAGTCTTCCTTGTTTTCAATATATTGCTACAATTATAGGCTTTATTGGAGTTGCAAATGAAGTATTGAGGCATATTAATTTTTCATAAGAGACTTTAGTATGATGTATAAAGATTTTTTCCACATTTTAAATTTTGAGGTTATTAAATGTTGCCATACGTTTTTGTTATATATATTTAAGGTGTCATGAAGGAGAAAATGAATGATTTTATATGAAAACCTGTAAGAGCTTAAGCTAATGTATCTGATGCTGGCTTTTAGTATCCTCCAGCATCAGCATTTTTAAAAACTTACACTTACGATTCAATGTACATATATATACATATATAACTATATACTTTTAAGAGAAAATAATTACAAAAGAAGTGAAATGTAACTCTTAATAAGATCATATAGAACAACTTGTGAAATTTTATTTTAGAGACTTATACTATGACTGTTTGTATGCAAAAAAACAAAAACATTTGAAATTGTTGGGAGGAGACTGCGGCAAGACCAAGACCGAATTATGCTGTTTTCCTGTTATGGTCTATAGACATGTGAAAAAATGAAACTAAACCCTCATAATAATGTACTCTCAAGATACAATTTAAACTATTAGCTTTCTTGTGGGAAAATTTTAAGATCTATGTATAAAGGTTATAGAATGTTAATAAATGGTGAAATACTTTGTGGCTATATATGTAATTATATTAAAATTCTAAAATTTACACCTGATTTTAAAATGTAATACAATTGTATACAACATATATATTACTTTGGTTAGAAATTTATATATGTTGTATTTTTATTTTGCTTGTTACTTTTGCTTAAGACTAAATATAGGAACTAGGACTTGGGCCAATATATAAATATGCACAATTTTCAAAATGTAAGTCACATATTCACTTTCAACTTGAAATAAAAAAATCAAGAGTAAATAACATCTTTAACATTTGATTTATTTTATGTAGTATTATATATGTGGTGTGATCAAAATATATGGTAAATGCTTAAATTAGAAAAAATGTATTATAGTAAAAGACACATTGCCATTAATCCCCTCAAAATATTTCCCCATGCTTTGAACATGCTTACCCCATCACTCTTGCCACTTTTGGAAGTGATTCTGGAAGTAATTCTTTTGTGAGTGTCTTCAGGAGGTGTGATCAAAAGTACAGTGAATGCCGCTATTACATGCCATCCAACAAAAAGGCATGCTAAAAAATATTACAGTGTATCCCTGCCCACCTTATTCACTGAGTCTAGAGCCATGTGACTTTAGGCTCTTATGTAAAGTTAAAATGACTACAAAAGGTAAACATTTTCCATCCATTCAGGCATATGTGATGACATAAAGACACTCAAGAAAAAAGGCCCTCAGAAGTGTTTCAGAAAGTGGCAAGAACAGCGAGATCAGTGTGTTTGAAGCAAGGGGTAGCATTTTGAGGGTGATCATAGGCAATGTGTCTTCTAGTATAACAACTTTTAAAATATATAAGCATTCGCCTCTTATTTTTTAATCACACTTTCTATATTTCATTTTAGTAGGCCTCTGAATTTTCAAAGGTTTTTGATGAATGGCACAGGCCGGTTCTCGATACTCAGCAGGAAAGAGTATTATTCATGATCAGATGATTCAAAACTGAAACTTGTTTATTTCTGAAGATACTATGATTTCACAGAGTATCACAACTTCAAAAGAAATTAATTTCTTTAATCTTGCAAGACATGTCATAGTACTGTCTTCATCTAAATTGAATAAATAAATAAATACTAGGGAATGCATTTTTGGGATCAGTTTCATTCTTTTGCCTAATTGGTTAAGTTCCCATTCAAATTACCAGGCATTATTCTCAAATTCAATTAGAGAGGCTTTTACCTAACAGTAAACGTTACAGTTCAGTAAGTAAGGTTGTTCAGTTCATTATTTTCCTGTTGAAGCAAATATTGATTGTAATAATAATAGTAAAGTAGTGGCAATCAAGGTTATCACGTATGTGCAGCTAAATAGCAAAACATAATAGTAGTGTTTGTTGTTTTTTTGTCTTGTTTTTTTATTTGGTACTGGGGATCAAACTCAGGATCTTGTGCTTGTGAGGTAGGTGTGTTGCCACTGAGCTAAATGTCCAGCCCTACTGGTTGTATTGTTGTAAGAAGAATAAATAATTGCCATTTGATTAAACTCCAGTGTGACAAAAATACTTTTCTCTCGGTGTGAATAAATGAATACCACTTCTAAGCTCAATAGAGAACCATTTTGTGCTTTCTTACTAATAAAGATAAAAGAGATGAAGCTTAACTCTTGATAAGGTCACGTAGAACAACTTCTGAAACCTTTGTTTTCATAACCTCTTTTTCAGGCTGCCTTAGGGATTGCACACCTGATTGTTATGGCCATGGAGAAGGAAGGTCTGACCAAGGAGAAAGCAATCAAAAAAATCTGGTTGGTTGACTCAAAAGGATTAATAGTAAAGGTAAGAACTTGTCATCTTAACCAGAATTAAAAATCTATGTGCCATGTGGAATGATTTTCTCAAAGACTACTTCTATTTCTACTATCCCACTTTACATTGTGTTGAAAAATTAGCCACTAAACATGAATGAGTAGGTCGTACAGATATACAAGTACTGATATTCTCCTGAATTAAGAATATGGTGGTTCAGGAAAGTTGTGAGTGATTAGGCTCCTCAAAACTCTATTAATTATGAATCTACTTAAATTAACTTTAATTTCCAAATGAGGTAGTTTGATAGAGATGAAACGTTTAGATATAGTACCATTTTTTTTTTTTTTTGAGACAGGATCTCACTATGTAGTTGAGACTGACCTGGAATCCACTATGTAGCCCAGGCTGTCTCGAATTCACAGCAGTCCTCCTGCCTCAGCCTCCAAAGTGCTGGGTTTAAAGGCATGTGCCACTACACCTGGCGATATAGTTAGTACCTTTTGAACAGCTGTAAAACTTGCACACTAGCTAGAAAGAAAGGTGAAAGAAATCAAATAGGTACTCTGTAACTGCTACTTTCTCACAACAAAATTCTTAAGGGTTTGATAGAGAAATATGAGCAAAGCACTTTAATAAATGGGCTATTTGAATTTTAATTTATGTATTCCTTAGTTTTTCTAGCTTTAATAGAGATAACAGTATCTACTATAGGGTTATTGCGGAACTAAATTAAGACTAGGTAGGTATCTGACCATGCTGCTATATAGATACAAAGCATTATCATTACTTACACCACTTGTATATATCAATTGCTCTTCCTTAAATTGCTAGAAAAACATATGAATTCCCTTTCTTGTGAAGATAAATAGTGATAAACAGCATCTTCTGGAATATAATAGAGACATAAATGCCAAAGTCTTGATATTCTCTGGAAATTTCTTTGTGTATATAGCATTAAAAACTTTTTGCGGGCCAGAGATTTAGCTCAATGGTTCCACTGCCTGCTTTGCAAGTTCAAGGACCAAAGTTCAATCCCTGGTAC